TAGTGATCTTTTTTCTTTGATTTTTTTGGCTATTCTAGAGGAGCTGATTTGTTACGTTTTATTTCTGATTGTTATTGTAGAGCAGTCATTAATGGTGTTAGATAAGAGTACGTTGAGTGAATTTATGCAGTTTTTTATATTGATAGTTGTTTTAAGTGGGAATTACACGTAATGCGTTCATCTATGGAAAGAGTATATTTTTTCCAGTCCTCTTTTGTGCGTTTGTTTACATTCTTGTGTACTTGACGGTGAAGAGTAATTATTACCAGCGAATGGTCCGATGTAATATCTAGGCATGATGACGCTACAAAATAATTTTTGTTTATCCCTTTTACTATTGCAAAGTCAATCAAGTCCGGGAGCTTTTTTAAGTCAGTAGGCTAATATGTTGGTTCTCCGGTGGATATCGGGGTGAATTAATTTTTTTGTAGTATTTCATAGAGTACTCGGTCTCTGGGTGTTTGGAGTTTCTGATGTAGATCCCCACCACGGGTGCTTCGCATAATCCCCTCCTGCTATAAAGCGGTTTCCTAGTGTTTTGAAAAATTCTGTCCATTTTTCCTTTGTGATTGTTTTGTTTGGAGGACAGTAAACAGCTGATATTGTAATCGGTCCCTTTTTATCATTGATGATTATGCTAGTTGCTTGAAGGAACATTTCACTAGTATGTTTGTGAACGTGTTGATTTATATTTGTTTTGATTAGAATTGTAGTACCTCCGTGTGCTTTATGGAGTGGGTGATTTGTTTTATGTACTGAGTAGTTTGGTATGTGTAGAAAATTTTTGCTAGTAAAGTGTGTTTCTAAGACTAACTTAATATCAATATTTTCTTGAATTAAAAATTGCTCTCAACTCGAGGTGTCTTCTCGTAAGGCCATTTGCATTCCAGATAGCAATTTTTAGATTTGACAGATTTGACATGGTTATACTAATTTATTAATAAGTGTGGTTACTAATTTTAACAGTATGTCCATTGTTTGCGTCATTTTTTCTATTAATTGCTCGAGTTTATTAATTGACTTTTCATCGTTACTGCAATTATTTTGTTCTGTGTGTACTGCTGATTGTTTTGGTGTTTCTGTTTCATTCTAGCCGTTATGTTTAGCGATTACCTGTGCGTATGTTGTGTTCGGTCTAACTCTATTGTCATTTGGATTTGAATTTGCATTTGTGATTGTATGTACTTGTATACTATTTTGAAATGTTCTTTCTCGCAACTTGGGAAATAATTTTTGCTGTAGTTGCTTACGTACCGGACAATCTTTATAATTTGCTGTATGATTTCCTTTGCAGTTTGCACACATTACATCTTTAATTTTTTTTTTTGATTGGACACTCCTTGGTTTGATGATATTAAGCACATTTAACACACACTGCACTTTTAAAACAGTAATTTTTCGTATGTCCGTACTCTTGGCAATTTTGACACTGAGGAATTTCTCTTTTTATGTTTGGTGGTTCGAATTTGATTACTGTGTGAAGAAGTTTTGTTTCTTTGTAGGACTTTTATAATCATGTTCAATTTCAATTGTGAAGAGCGGTAGTGGTGCTTTTGTGATGAGATGTCTTATGTTATGAATACTTAGTACTTTGTGTCCGTGATTTTCTATGGCAGCTTTTAATCTTTCAGTATCAACTGACGGATGCATGCTTCTTAGAATTATTTTGAAACCTTTTCCTTCTTTACGCTGGTAGGTGTAGAATTGTGTATTTTTTTCTTTCAGTGCGTTTATTATCGGGAGATACTTTTCCGATGCTGGTGGTTGAATTTTAATTTGATCTTGTCCTATTACTTTTAGTGTAAAAATATTTTTGACTATTGTGTTTAATAATTTTTCTAACAGTTGGATATCTTCTACGTTGTAAACAAAGATCGGAGGGAATTTGTTTATCGTTTTGTTTGCTTCGTTACTTCATGATTTTTCATCTTCACTATGATTATTTACTTTATCATCTTCTAGTATTTCGAATTTATTTCTTGTATTACTTAGCCAGTAGTCTAATTTTGCTTATTTGATAGTTTGAATAATTTGTGTTTCATTGCCTGGACTGCTGCGACTGCTTGGACTTATTTTATTAGAAGCGATTTTCCACTCTCCAGGTTTATCTTTATTGTTGGTTAACGAATCATCAGTTACTTTTGTGGCCATTTCGGCCGTCTTGTTTTGTAATTCTGTTAAACGAGTTTCACCTTTAACTGTCACTTATGCTATTGTTATAAATAAGACTTTTCCGGTAGAGCGCAGTTATAACACGTCTACTCACTTCAAGGTTCAAACGCTAACTGATATTATGTATTGAATTACATATTTACAGTTATTTTGTCTTAGGGGTGGTTTACCCCCCTTAGGGGTAATATTTATTAAAACACTGAAAAACGTCAACTAAATTTTGTTATTATGGATGTTTAAACATTTTTGCCAAGTTTTTTAGTCGGTTTAAGCTTTTTTATTATAAAATTATGCCAAAAAATATATATTTTCAACCCCTAAAAAATAGGGAATGCTACCCTTACTCTTCAAATCACCATAAAATACTTGCTTCTTTTGTAAGAAATAACCTCCAATTTGTTTCACTGAAAAATATTAATTTTAAGCCGAGATATTAAAATAAACGCTTTTTGGAGGTTAACTTTAGGGGATGTTTTTACCCCTTAAAAGTGAAAATTAGCCGAAAAAAAAATACGTGTCTCTGATTTTTTTATGTTCTACAATATGTATCAAAATCATCAAAATTGGTGAGTTCGGGTTGGGTACTTTTCTTGTAAGTCTCTTTCTTCAAATGCTGCTCGTGAACAATTTGCTGTAGCTTCCTCCTCGATTGCGTTTCCCACTATTTTCTCATATTTCTTATACGTATTATTTACACAATCTAGGCATATTTGTGCAATTAAGAATTTTGTTTAAGCTCGTTTAACCTGTACCAGAATGTATTGCACCTGAAATAATAATACACAATTTAAAAATGATGTTACAGTATAATAAATGTTGTTCAAAGCTAATGGTAAAAGTAAATATTATACTGAAAAATGTCACGGGTACACAACTTACCAAGCACTAATCCAGCATTGATTTCTGATACGTGCTTTTCAAATATTTTGCCAGTATTAACATTTGTCACAGTTGCACAATGTTTGCATGTAATTGATAAACCAGAATGACATCCAATCAGTCTTTCTTTTGTCATATCTTCCAAGTGTAAAATGTTGTTGCATTCACCGCATTTTAGATTTTTTCCTAGTTCTGCTAGTTGAACGAGGCGCAATCCCTCACATACATTATTCGTCTTTTGCTCAATTAATTTTTTTTCGGTAGGTTTTTTCTTCGCATCAGACATAGCCTTTAGAGCTTTTATTATACGACCGTTTGTTTTCTTTAATATAAAAAATCCTTTTTTACTTCGGAAATGCATTGACATCTTCTAGATTTGTTGCAGTTTACACATAAGAACAATACACCATAACCTTTCTATTATGCCTTGCTTATGCTTTCGAACTGACGCACGTGTAGTAGTCAGGAAACCGGTGCTGCCAAATCGCATAAATCGTTGCGAATTCGCGTTTTTTTATATCTGCATATGAACTGGTGCTCAACTCATTTAATAACTTTACCGATAAAAGATCCAGTTACTTTTGGTAGTATGAGTTAAGCACGATTGTGAGGGAGAGAACGTCCTTAACGAAAGAATTAACAAATAACCCCATTCTTGTCGTGTATAATTAAATAAAGAAATATATAGATTGAATAAAAAAGCAGAAGCAAAGTTAATGTAAAAACGTAATTATAATATTTGAAAATAAATAAAATATAAGTTTTATCCATCCCGTCAAAACTTAGTAATAATATTTAAACACATGACCTTAAATACTAATATTGAGTAAGGTTCAATACATTTTATCAAATTTAAGTATATAGAAAATTTAAATGATCATGTGTTATTAGATTTTTATAAAATAATAAATGTCAAGTGAATTTTTATTTGTCCGTAATATTTTTTCTTAAATTATATAATTTATTCATTTGACAACAGTATTATAGTTTGAAAGTTGGCATACTATAGATTTTATTAAAGAACAATGTAAATTATCCTTCACAAAGTCTATTTTTATTTAAGTCTAGTAAAGCAATAAAATAACTTACAATAATGATTGGTAGAATTTTAAAATCGTCTAAACAATTCTAGTTTACAATAAATAATGATCAATAGTGTTATTCATAATCTCTTTCAATTAATGTAACTTGAAACTTAGATTAAAAATAATGTAGCAAACGTGTATGAATATGCGATATTGTTTTTCGTAAAATGTTAAACTCTTTATCCAGTGTTACTTTATTTATTTTTTAAGTTTATATTATAAAATTGAATGATATTTTATGAACAAATTTTAATTAAAAAGATAAATAGAATAAATCTATTGGAAATTTACTGTGTTTTAGATACTGTAGAACGTTATGAAAAATTCATCGCTAATGAAATTATAAAGTTGACAAGTTTAATTGAAATTAAAGTTTTAGTGGAAAACCCAAGATTTAGAGCGAAGCATAAACTACAATATAATTTTCATATTCTGAACCATAGCGTTTACATTAAAATACAATTTAAGTTTTTTCATTAAAATCTAACGAACTATATGAATCCAAAAAAAATGACGGTTATGTTTTTATTAATTGATATAATTGCCTTTATAAGCATCGTCATTTAATAAAATGGTTATACACATTATTTTATATGAATACTCATTCTATCACTGCTATATGTTACTCAAAGTACAATGATTCTTTATATGACATCATGAAATTTTTACAGTCGAATTTTATTAAAATGAAATTACAATAAATCTTATAAAAATACTAGTAATTTTTTCATATAGCAGTATTATTTTAATGACCTGAAGTATTAAGAAAATTACTAAAATAAAATATTTCAGAATGAAATACAAATAATACGTATATTATTTTTAACATAATTGAAAACTATTATGATATATTTAAATAATAACCTTAAGCGTATCCGATTGTTCATTCAAATCGATTGGGATGCGGACTGGTTCATGAAAAAAACAGCCAGGCATATTTTACTAATTGCTGCTTTAGTATATACTTATTAATTTTACATAAGATATAAGAAAACAATACCAATGTTACTTTATATATATATTTTCATAATTGTTACATATGTCAATGGTTTAAAAATTTAAATGACAATGACTCAATACAAATTACAACACAAATAAAATAGAAAATAAATATACAAATGATATAGATCAATCTTTGAAGAAAAAGAAAATTTTCACTTAAGAGGTCATACGCTTGTTTAAATATAGTCTGCTGTGGAGGGGTACGTCGATCGAGTTATTTTTACAATTGCAATATGATAAACATGACTAAATAGTTCAAAGTAATATATCATTTTAATGTTATAATTAAAATATTGTTATAATAATAAAAATTATTTTCAAATATTATTTTATCATGTTCAATTTTGCAATATTCTTTATCATTACGTATAATAAAATAAGAAATATACTATTTTAATAAACAGTTAGACACCTAAAATAAATAATAATCTTAAGAACTTTTTTGTTAATATTTATTATTTTAAGTGTTATTTTATATCGTTTTGTATTTAAAGTATAGTTTTTATTGTAAAGAAATGATCAACAATAGAGACAACATACACACATTACCTTTAACGTTATTTAATCACACAATTGTTGATTTTGAAGATTGTTTATATTAATTTAAAATAAACCATACGTAATGCTTAATTTTTATGAATTGAACTCTAAAATAACAAATATAGTTCAATTTTTAGACAAAAATAATTGTTAAATGTATTTACAAAAATTTTTCCATACAAATACATCCTACATTCAACAATATATAGGAATAGAAGTACTGAATTTGATAATCATTCTCAAACGCCTCCACGATTTATACTTTAACATCACAAAAAATATAAAAATTCACTAGTAGTAAGTAAACTAAAAGGTTTGAATATGAAGGGGAATTCAATTTGAAGAATATCAGGTCATATGTGATTTGTGTATTGTAAAATAATCAATGCTCACTTGCGTGTGATTCAACAATTGTATGTGATCAAATCACTACCTGATGTAACATCGCTCTAAATCTCATTTTTTTCTATTTTTACTTTTTAATAATTTATTTCTCATATGTTTCCCATCGCACTCCTGATATGTGAAATCAATTAAATAAATTATAAACTTTTATCGACACTTTGATGTGACGTTACTGAGTAGGCTATGAACAGGATGGAAAATAAAAAAAGAGAGAAAAAAAAGACATGCAACAACTCTATGCCTCTCCTTACACTTTCTTTCTCTCTTATTCGGGGTTATGTTCCATACTCACAAAGAAGGGTCTCCACGTGTACCTCATCGATTTAGATTCTATTGTAATATGTTATAGTTCTCTAAAAAATATTAGATATGTATTTTTTTCAAGTGCTAACTCGCTTATTTTAGGCGTGAAAATCACCATTAAAGTTCATCCCTAAAAACAGTTTTATTTCAATATCTCAAAAACTATTTGGAGTTTCTGAATAAAATCAACGTCAAAAGATTTCTTACAAAAATACACTACTTTAGACATAGCTTCTATACCAAACGGGTGCAACCTTTTTTTTTCAGGGGTAGTTGTGTATTTTTCTTATTATTTTTTCATACAAAGTTAGTTTCGGTTAGAAATTGCACTCATAATGAGAAAATAAAAAATTTAATTTGATGTGTTTCGGTATTTTTGAAGAAAAGATTTTTCAGGGATGTTTTATCCCTACAATCCTCCCCTACCAAATCATAAGAATACATATCAAATTTCTACAATAACATTAAAGGCTATATTATTAACTAAAGATGTAGTTTAATTGTGAAGTTTATTATTGAGGTTTAGTAAGGTGGGGTAAGAAGGCTAATCCATGTAACCTTGGAAACATCCAGCTTTTTTGTTCTTTTAATAATTAAATTTTGCACCAGAAGTTAACTAAACGGTCTAACCTCCTACTCTCTAATTCGAACCCCTAATAATCACCCCTACCAAATCAAAAACAGGCTCATCCACCTAATCCTGGGAACTACGAGTTTAGTCGCTTATTTTTTTTTTTTTTAATTTAAATTCCGCACTACAAGCCAGCTCATCCACGTAAGCATTTGCCCCAAATCCATGAATTACAAACCCACAATCCTCAAACCCGCAAACCTTAAACTCGAGAGCCTTAAGCCAATTAACCTCGAAACCAACCAATTCAAAAACCAACGAATCCCAAACCCACATATCCCACAAACCATATACGCCCAAATCATTAAACTCATTAACCCCAAAACCCACGAACCTCAAACTCACAAACTCCAAAGCCCAAACCAATAAACCTCGAAACCCACAAACCCCAAAAATCCACAAACTCGAAAACCCACAAACCCTAAAATCAACAAACTACAAATTTCAATCCCATAATCCCAAGCCCACATACCCCGAACCCATAAATCCTTAAACTGAGAATCAACCAAATTATAAATTAGGTAGGTACAGTAGGTTTGCGGTTCAAGGTTTTATGAATTTTGGGTTATGGATTAAGGGTTTGTAGGTATGGAGTTAATCGGTTTGTGGTTTGTGGGTTTATGGTTTGTGGGTTAATGAGTTTGGTGATTTGGGGGTATCTAGTTTGTGAGTTGATGGCTTGTGGATTTGGATTGGCTTCGGGGATTGTTGGTGTTAACCCATTTCTTCCCAATCGACCATGAGACTACCGATTGGTTTATCGTCTTGTAAAATGGGTAGAATCGCTTGAAATCGATATGCAAAATACCATTTCCGAAGCAAAAAGACTTGCTCTTTCTGAATCTGCAAACAGATTTTCAAAATTTTACGATCCAAAAACAATATGGCGGCTCAAACTTAGTGAAAATTTCATTTTTTATTTTAACTGAATTTCCTTTTTTTTCGAGTAAAGTATGTAACGTATACCTACTAAACAATTTTATTTCACTATTAGTATGGTTGTAGGACTTCTGTGATCGATTATTGATATTTTTGAAAATCCAAAATTTAAAATGGCGGACGAAAAATTGATTAATTTTCTGAAAAATGAAGGAAAATGAGAAAATATATATTTCTTGTGTTTTTGAGGGTACTGATTTGATATCTGGTGTTGATTTTTGAAAATTCTTGCATCGAAAATCAATATCGAGCATTCGAAATGGCTGATAAACTTAATTTATTTTATAAATATATTTTTTCTAGCGAAAATCCACAGGTTTAGCATTCATTAATTTTCTAAATAATAAAAGTTACAATAAAATTATTTCAAATCATATCTTACTTATAAAACGGCCGCTAGGTGGCGAACAGTCATTTTTTTGTACTTGCAGTAAAATCTGCAATCCTAAATCCATATAGGTACCCGATATTTTCCGCAAATTTGTATACTTAAAAAAAATAAACTACATAATTTATATTACTATTGTATTACAATAATAATAATTTATATAAAAACTTCGACTACTACTGCTATTGATTTATTATAATATTTTTGAACCTCATAATATTATAATTTTGAATAACTTTACAAAATAACATCTGGTGTAAAGTATGCCAAAGAAAAACGCAAAGCAATCCGACAATAGCATTACTGTTGAAACTACTGAGCTTATGGATTTAGATTCCGATCATGTTGACGGAACAGATAAAACGTTTTCTAATTTACCCGAAACTTTATTTAGAAACGTTGCTGTGATTCCTGATGATATTGGAAGTGAAGATGAATCAACCAATGAAAACGATTCAGCTGACAGTGTTCAGATAATTGAAGGACGCAACTGTCCAGAAAGGTATCAAATAGTTGACAAATCCCTCATTTCTTCAAATAAAAAACTAGAACCTTCACATGAGTATGTATGGAAAGATGGAGAAAAATTTTATGATTCGATACCTAAATCAGAAATATTTTTGGATGAGGAGATAAAAAATAATTTGCGTCAAAAAACATGCGCTGAGTTGTTTGAGTTATTTTTTTCAGATGAAATCCTATAATAAAATCATATAATAAAAGATTATATAATTGAAGTAAGTGCTGAAAATGATTTAGATATTGATACTGATGATTTGAATAAATTCATTGGGATAGTTATGTTTTCTATTATCAACAGTCGTAAATGTTATAGGGATTATTGGTCTAACGATTCTTTATACCATTCCGATACAGTTTCTAAGACCATGTCGCGTAATAAATTTGAAAATATAAAAAATAAATTTAAAATGAATAAAAAAGAAGATAGAAATGATGCAGATAGAGTATGGAGAGTCAGAAAAATAATAAACATTTTTCGAACAAATATTCAGCAATTTGATTTTTTTTGTTCTGCCCTTTCGATCGATGAGATGATGGTTAAATTTTTTGGTTGTACCATACTCAAACAATTTATAAGAAATAAACCTGTACGATTTGGAATAAAGCTTTGGGCGCTTTGTACAATTCAGGGATATTTATTAGATTTTGATGTTTACTGTGGTCACGATTCAAGTAGCGAAGAAAAATGTGCTTTGGGTTCTAGAGTAGTGATAAAAATGTTAAAAGAATTTCTTCAGAGAAAGTTGGCAGATGAAATTTCGAAATACCACGTCAGTTTTGACAATTATTTTAGTTCACCTGATTTATGATAACAAACAAGAAATAGTTTCCGAACTTGATACTTTAAAAAAAAACATACCATCGATAAAAAATCTGAGCGTGGTACTTATGTAGTAACTCACGAAGTAAATAGTGGCATAAACTATGTTACAGTAAAGGATTCTAAAAATGTTTCTATCATTTCAACTGCAAGCTCTATTAAGCCACGATCTGAAGTGGAAAGAACTGATAAAAGTATAAAAAAAAAATTCCACTAGAGTTTCCTTTGGTTTTTATAATTTATAACATGTTTATGGGAGGTGTTGATCTTCATGATCAACATTGCAGTGATTTTCGACCAACTATTCATGGTAAAAAGTGGACATGGCCTATGTTTTGTAGGCTTATACAATCATCACTAACTAATGGTATGGTCTTATATAATTTAGTGCATAGTAAGAAAATATCAGCTAAAGAGTTTGTCTCGAATGTCATAAGAGTATACTTGAAACAAAGCGAAGAATCACTATCTCAACATTCACTCGTCATGATTCCTAAGGCACGCAAAGAATGTAAGGTATGTAAAGATCGAACTACTTATTATTGTTATGATTGTAAAGAACATTATTGTGTTCAATGTTTCAGATCCTACCATAGTTTGCATCAAAGTTCT